CAATCCTGGCAGCAGCTCTGCTGTGCCCTTGCAGAGCTTAACCCTGCTCTTGTTTGGTTCTTGTTAAACCCAACTGAGTTTTGCTTCTGCTGCTGCTGGTACAAACAGGGTCAGGCCTGAAGCCAGCAGCCTTTAGAGCTGTGGATAAGGTTTTGTGGGTTTGCCAGCCTTCTGCAAAGCCAAGGCTGTTTTGGGAGCATGGATGTGGGTGAGCACTAAACACGCTGTGGTATGGCTGTCCCATGACAAGCTGCAGCCTCTTTCCACCCTCCTACTGTCCTTAGCAGGGACATGGGGTGACAGCAGGAAACGTCTCCAGCTCCACAGCTGCCTGCTTCCCCCCTTTCCGCTCCCAGGAACGGGATGAGGTTTGGTTTGGGGGGTTGCAGATGCTTCAGAAAGGGACGTGTGAGCCCCTGGGGTGCCGGAACCACCTCCGATGGGAACTGCGGCGCGGTGAAGGGGGTTTGCAGCCTTTGCCAAGGCTCCTCTAGGAGCAGCTTTGATTTCACACGTGGGAACCAAAGGCAGAGACCTGCAGGCGGCTGCACCGGCGCCGGCCCAGGCCCTGCCAGTGGGATGTGTACGGTCATGTTGTAGGAAGCTGCTGTCTGAGCTTGTTGAATGGCAGCTCACCTTCAGATTTCCCAGGACAGGCAGTGCAAGCTGTGATCTGGACTTGGACAATTTGGGTTTGGGCTTGGACGGGTCTCCTTTCCCACCCCAAGCTTCAGTGACCAAAGTCTGATTTCGGGGAATGCAACAGCCCTGGACATCAGACTCAGATGAACTCCACACCACAGCTAAACCTTCAAAGAGCTCCCATTTCTGTTCTTTTATGTGGATCTGTCCCAAATATTTGGCCAGTGATGGAAGAGCACTGGTTGAGTCAGATGCATAAAGGTGGACACCAGGAAGATCTGGTCTCGCATTCGATGCTGATGCCCTTTTCCTCCAGTTAGGTTTTGGATGCATTTCGGTTCATTCCCAAAGGACTTTGCTTTTCTTTCCAGAAAGCAGGGGCAAGTGCTGGGTCCCTGTGCAAGAGGAAACTGAGGCATCGGTCACTTTGCAGTGCCTGTTTGCACCGAGCTGGTACGTCCTATCTCAGCACCTCAGCTGCAAAGAACATAGCTGGTATTTCAAGCCCTGATCCTGGCCTCTGTGCAGCTCCTCCCTGTGCTGCTCACATCCTTCCTGCACATCCATCTCTGGGCAGTGATAGCTTTGGAGCAAGGTATAGAGCAAATCTGTTCTTTGGCCCGGTGCCTCTCTGCTTCTCCGGGTCGTAAATCCCAGGATGTGTTTTTGGCTTTGTGTTAAATTTAATTTCTGGAGAGCATTTTCTCCAGTGAAACTGCCACGGCCTTTTGATGACTTAGTGATTTGGCAGCGATGCTGGCGAGGATCCTGAAAGCAAAACCGCTCTTGCTGCTCTGGTGTGTGCTGCTGCCTGGGGAGCAGAAAGGCTGCGGTGTCCTGCTGGCATCCCAGGTACAGGTCTGCTCCGAGCACTTGAGCAGTGACAGGTTTCTCCCCCTCATTCCTGGCAATCTCTATCAGAAGTATGTTATGAAAACACTTGGCAGATGTTTAGCAGGTTTGTTTCTTCATTTACGTTTTTAACTGGTGTTTCATCTGGATGGTACTGAAGCATGAAGCACATTCCCACCTGCCTGGTGAGCGAGAGCAGCTTGCAGGGAAACACAAAGATCCGGTTGTGGATGATGCAGAGGTGCAGTTGTGGGGTGTTAAGGCTCTGGCTTCAGGAGATGAGATGTAGAGTTTATTTCTCAGTGAGTGGCTCAATATTTGCAGAGGACTTGTAATGTGAGACACAGGAACAAGGGACCCCCACACTGTATTCATAGAGAACTGATTTCACTGCTCATGGCCCCTTGCAAGTGACACACGTGGTGGGATATCCTCTAGCAGGCTGGATTCTCATTACCCTGCAACAACCCAGTCTCTGCATGGAAGAGCCTGCAAACAGCAATAGCTCCCAGAGCAGTGAATGTATTTGACAACCCTGGGGTAATGGTTGGACTTGATGATCTTACACGTCTTTTCCAACCTAATTGATTCTGTGATTCTAAGTTGTTCATCCTGTATCTGTTCAGCAAAGAGACTGAGAATGCAGGTTTGGTGTGGTCCTGTGTGATGCCTGTCCAGCCCTGCAGGGTGGCAGCCCCTGGGCTTTATTTGGGTGTTGGGTAAAGGGGATGCTCAGCTTTGTTGGTGGGGTCATGGACTGGCTGGGAACTGGGATGAAGGAGCTGCAGGATGAGGACTGATTAGTGGGTACTGCATCATGCCCATCCCGGGAAGCTGCCAAGTGTCAGATGGCAAATCCTGACTTTTTGTTAAAGGACCAGTTGTTTAATTTTCCTTATTTTAACGGCTTTTATGTTTCAACCAGAGCCCTCTGCTGCTGCCTGGTGACAGGAGAGAAAAAATAGCCCATATGTGAGGGTATGGACAGTAGCAGGGCAGGGACAGCCCCATGTCCTGGCTTGCTGCAAAGCCAGTTAGTGATAAGTGCTTTGAGAAGGGCAAAAGCACCGGAGGTGCTGCTGGCCCCCTCCCTCCCATGCTGAGTGCAGGCCTGGGCACTGCTCAGCCCCAACACATATTCCTCCATAAGGGCAGACCCTGCTGGATGTCTCATCCTGAACAGTATCCCAGCACTTCCTTTGCTATTAGATTAGGATCCCCACTGCAGCAGTTATAGATGAAAGTATATGGATGTATGTGTACATATTTCAGAAACTGTTATGCATTAGCAAACTCCCCGGGAGGCTTTTTTTAGAGGTGCTATCGACAGGATATGCCTTGAATATCCTGTGACAGCCACACAGGGTGGGAAGCCACAGATAAGGGCTTTTCTTTACAGCCTCGCTGGGCCCGGAGTACCCTGGTGTACATTGTGCTTCCTTGGGCTGTTTGCTCTCTCCATCGGTTGGCATTTTGAAGAGCTCATGCTCTTTTTCTGAAGTGGGGAACAAGTCCTTTGATATGGTTGGAGCCTGCTTGGGGTGGGGGAGGAAAAAGCATCCAAGAAACATTCCCCAGTCACTGCCCTTCAGCAATAAATCACAGAATCATAGAGTGGTTTGGGTTGGAAGGAACCTCAAAGCTCACTCAGTTCCAACCCCTGCCATGGGCAGGGACACCTTCCACTAGAGCAGGTTGCTCCAAGCCCCATCCAACCTGGCCTTGAACACTGCCAGGGATGGGACAGCCACAGCTTCTGTGGGCAACCTGTGCCAGTGCCTCAGCACCCTCACAGTGAAAAGTTTCTTTCCTAATATCTAATCTAAATCTCCCTCTTTCAGCTTAAAGACATTCCCTCTTGTCCTGTCACTAAAATAAGAACCCATTAAAATCCCACCCAGCCACATGAGCTGGGGAAGGTTTACAGATACCCCACTATGAAAATCATACTGCATAACATTGCATGATGGCTGTGACCCATTCCATGGACCATAAAGCACCTAAAACCGTATGGTTTCAGGTCGGGTTGTAACTGGGTACAGCAGAGCATGGCAGGGTTTGGTACCACCATGCTATGAGCTACCTAACAGTGGCAAAGCAACACTCCAGCCTGTAGGAAAGGCCATGGTTAGAGCACTAATGGCACTCATGCTGGGGTTTCCAACCACACAAAGGTTTTTCCCTCACAGCCACGTGCTGACTGTGGTATAGAAATCCCCATCGGGCAGACCTGCAAGTGTTTGGGATGATCAGTAGGTCCTTTTGCCTCCAGTGATGCCCTCATGTGTGGGTTTTGAGGGGAGCACAGGGTTTCTCTTACAAAATATCTAGCTGGTCTCCACTGGGCAACACAGAATCTACCTGTGGCTTAGGGCGAAGTTTAGAAAACAGAGTTTATACAGCAAGCTTTTGCCTACAAGCTGTCTTTTTAATGAGGAATGTGCATCCAAGTTTTGCTGGGGCACCATTCCCTCCTGCTTGTGTCTTTGGGTAAGTCACTTCCTCTTTCCGTGAATCTTTTCCTCACTTTTATTTAACTCGTTCTCCATCTTCCCCTGTTGGGGGGATGCTGTTGAAGGACTTTCTCTTCTCTAAGCCTCACCAAAGCATTTAGCAGAAAGGGGCCTTGATCTCACGTTACCACTACAGGTGATGAGTGCAGGTAACAAAACGCACCGTTCAGTCTGGGGCGGATGGGATTTCCACTGGAGCTTCAGGGAGGAAAAGGAATAAAGGGAAATAACTCCTAAGTCAGGCAGGAAGGGGTGAGCTCAGCACTTTGCTGAGCTCGTGACTTCCAGACCGAGTCACCCAGAGGAGCATCAGCCACTCCAGCTGTTGCGTTCATTGTGTGCATGCCGAGGGCTGGCCGCATCCTGGCACGTTGTGTTGTTGTGCTGCCGTTTCCCTTCTTCGGATGCGTGTTTTGTTCTGTTGAACAAACACATGGGGCAGAACAACAAAAATAATCCCCCCTCTTCCCATTGATGTCGGACTGGGGCTGTGTGAACCAGCAGCCAGCTGCGCTCACAGTGCAGTTTCCAGAGCATCGCTCACCAGCCGCAGTAGTGGGATACGGGTTATTTATCCTGGGAAATCCCCAGGAAAGAGATGCTTCCCTTGGCCAGAAGAGGAAAAGGCCACCAGGCTGGGGCTTCCCAGGCTGGTGAACTCTGTTGATGTCATGGCTCTTGCTTTATTGCAGCAATTTTTGATAAAAGGTAAGAGCCTGGCTGAAGCCTGGTGAGGTCCCAGTGCGCGCAGAAGTGAGGAAGGGCTCTGCCTGCCATTGAGCCTTGCACAGGGTACATGTGGCACTGCTCACCCTCTCCAGTGCCAGGAGCTGCTGTGTGAGGTGGCATCAGCTGCTTCATGTCACCCTAATGTGGAGGGGCCAGGAGCTTTCCCCAGATCTCCATCCCTATGTGCTGCTAGAGCAGCAGTGCCAGCCAGCATCCTGGTGTGAACTCATACTTATGAGCGTGCCCATGTTGGCTTCATATGTGACTAAAATTTGTCTCTTTCTCCCCACAGAGACCTCCACCCCTGAAGACCCCAGCTTTGGGTTTGACCCTGCGCCGAGCCTCTGCCCTCACCCTGGCCACCCCTACCCATGATGGCATTGTGTCTCAAGCAAGTCTTCAACAAAGACAAAACGTTTCGACCCCGAAAGAAGTTTGAGCCGGGCACCCAGCGCTTTGAGCTGTACAAGAAAGCCCAGGCCTCCCTCAAGTCTGGGCTGGACCTGAAATCAGTGGTGCAGCTGCCTCCCGGTGAGAGCATCAATGACTGGATCGCGGTGCACGTGGTGGACTTCTTCAACCGCATCAACCTCATCTACGGCACCATGTCAGAGTACTGCACGGAAAGGAGCTGCCCCATCATGTCTGGTGGACTCAAGTATGAGTACAGGTGGCAGGATGATAGCAAGTACAAGAAGCCAACCAAGCTGTCGGCTCCGCAGTACATGTGTATGCTGATGGACTGGATCGAGATGCTCATTAACAACGAGGACATCTTCCCTACCAGGATAGGTGAGTGTGCTCTGGTTCTTCATGAGAAGGCTGGGGTTGTAACTGAGGCAGGCTCTGCTGATTCACCTCAGGGTTGGTATTACTGACTTTGTGATCCCAAGGATCATGGCCTTTCCTGTTCCAGGTGTTCCTTAGAGTCCCAAATTGAGCTTGGGAGCCCTTGTCTTTCTCCTAGAGGATGTAGAAAACAATGTTCTCCTTTTCTGTGCTTTTTCCAAGTATTCTGTGTTTGTGAGAAATAAGGGCAGGTAGATTATCAGCTTCCTTGCACTTCCTCGAGGAGCTGAAGCACAGGGCTGGTTAAAGGTGGTCCCAAGGCCCAAACCTCATCCCACCTTGTTGTTTCACTTCTCAGCTCCTTTCCACCTCTGCTAATTCATCTCAGCCCCGATTATACATCACATTCTTACTACTTACATTCTTACTGCCCCTGGAATCTGGCCTTTCCAGCTGTCAATCCCCAGGGTATACGATGCACCCCTTCAAAAAAGTTTGGCCTTAGGAGTTTGCAGCAGCTGCCAAAGGCAACTCAGCTTGAAAGTAACCTCTTTGCTGCTGACCTGCAGTGCTTGGCAGCTGCCAGGGCTGATGTTAGCCCTGATACTTAGCTGCTTTCTTGTCCTTTGGGGAGATGAGTTCAAGGGTTAGAGCTGATGCGTAGGCTGGTGGAGCTGCTGGAGCCTCAGGTATGCCTTGGTGTGGTTGCTTTTCAGATGAAATGCAAAGGTACTTGAATGTAAAAGAATATTTAAGGGGCTTCAGGAGGAAAGATACAGCTTTGCAAGGTTGCTTGACCTTGTTTGTTTTCTCAAGCAGCACAGTTGACAGAGCCATATGAAATCAGTGCAGTTGAGGCTCAGGATTTTCATTAATATGCTGAGAAACACTGAAGAAAATGGTCTGTGTGGGATTACTGCCAGCCACTAGCTGTTGTAGCCCTATTTGTCTATGTTGTAGCATCTAGTTGTGTATCTTTTGTGGGATAATCTCTGGCCCTTGGCTCTCTGCAGGCAAGAGGGGAAGGCAGGGCAAGTGCGGTGCCAGATCCTCATGCTGGAGGACAGACAGACAGGCTGTCTTTGGGGCACACGGGGGAGTCTGCCCCTAGGATTCACTGGTGGCATTTCCTGTGCCATGGTGGCATCCCTCCCTCATGGGCTCAGTGAGCTCCACACATCCCAATGGATAGAGGAGGCTGGAAGTGTGGCTGGCTGATAGTGTTGGTGCAGGATACTCCATGCTGGCAGTCTCAACAAAATCCCCATTGATTCTGGCTGCTGCCAAGGGGTGAAACAGCAGCCACAGGATACAAGCTAGGTCTGCTTCTTCCCAAGGAGAAGCTCTGCACACCATTAAAAGCAGGGGCAAAGATGTGGATTTACTCAGTTTTCCCTCCAGACAGAATTGAGAGTGTCCTGGTCCAATTTCATGCCTTTCAGGTGGGATTTGGGATTTGATGCTGCTTGAAAGCTGCCCTGGGGAGTCAGTGCTACAGGGAGCCTACAGCACCCTCTGCTCTCTCATGTCTCCCTGTGAGGAGCAAAAGCAAAGCACAGTTGTGGCCCTGCTGGTTTTCACCCCATTTCTGTCACTTTTGCCTCCGAGGTGTAACACATCCTGATGTGGGGAGGAACAGCTCGTGCCTCTCATTTCCACCTCTCCTTTTACTTTGGTACAGGCGCAATTCTGGGTGAGATCCGGGCTGGCTGCAGGCAGTCATGGGGAAAACCCATTTTCCTCTCTTCCAAAGCCATTCCAGTGGCCCCTCTTCCAGGCCCCTTTGTCGCGGGGACCTTTGTGTCCCCGAGTGACTTCAGCCCCCTTGCAGGCACAGCTTGGTGGTTGTGGCCTCCCACATGTGAAAGTGAACTTAGGCTGAGATCACACTTTAAAACACATGAAAGGCTGTTGTGGGAAGCAGGGGTAGGAAGGACCTGGTGGCACTTTGTGTCCCAGTGTGTCCCCTGTTAACTGTCTTTCACTGGCCTGCCTTGTGTGCTGGGTAATTGCTCGGTAGCTCTGGCATTTCAGAAAATGGAGGTGTTTGGCCGAAAGGAAATGTCACATCCTGATGTGATGTTCCTGATGAGCTGCTCCTTGTCGCTGCACCGGATGATGGGGGAGGCTGGGGGTACACACAGAGGGGAGGGATGTGGGTCTCAGGGCCAAGCAAACAGAGATGCTCACCCTCCCTCCTAAAGAGCCAGCCCCTCTGGAAGAGACCCAGGACCAAAGGAATAAGGCACCTAGAGGACACAGGGGAGAGGTGAGCTGTTTGAAGGAGAGGATTTGAGTCTGATGAAGGGATGGAGGGAAATTATAAATGTCATGCTTTGGAGGCAGGGTGAGGCTTTTCAGTATTAGCAGCAGAGATGGGGTTTAGCATGAAGGTTTGTTCCACTCCTGCTTGTACTACTGAGGTCCACTGACACAGCTGACTGCTGTCTCAGCAGGTGTTCCATGAGCTGTGTGCATCTCAGCTTTCCCTCCTAGCCCCTCTTTGCCATATGCAATAAAACTGCCCCAGCACCAAGATTTCCCATTTTCCTGGCTAAGGCCCCCTGACCGCAGACAAAACAGACATCTCTTTGATATTCTTCCTTTAAGTAAGTGTTCCCCAAACTTGCTAATGTTGCCTGAGGCTAACCACAGCATCTTTCTCTATCCAACAGCTACAAAGCCTGAAGCAGCACATGATTCAGTGGGGCTTGCTCATGGCTGTCCTGATGGTTAAAGGAGAGGTATCTCACGGGTCAGAGAAGGGAAATCCTTCACCCTGGGGTGAGAAGCTCAGCTGGAAATAAGCAGAGATGGTTCAGTGGCTTGTGGGCTCACAGGGTCCTTTGGCATCACAGGGCACAACTCCAGTGAGAATCTCTAGTGAGATACTTCAGTTGCACCACTGCACAGGTCCTTGTCCCAGCTCCAGCAAGGGAACCTGATGCCAGCAGACAGCTTGTGACCTGGCAGAGGTAACCATCAGGACCACAGCCCTTGGATAGCTGCCTCCATCAGCAGAAAATCCTTATGGTGATTTAATGGGGCCACTGTTGCGTACCATAGCAACAACTGGGGGGAGATGCTGTGTCTTCCCCATCCACCTGCAGGGCTCGGTCATACTTAAAGGCTTTGCTGCATAATCCTTCCTCTGGAGCAGAAACCTGTTTGTCTGCCGGTCAAGATGAGACAAATCCCTGCATGGGGTGAGCTATGCCAACCTGCCTGCTGTAAATCTGCAGCAGCAGCAGCTTTCCCAGACGACCCGTATCAGTTTGCATATGCTAGTGCTCTGTTTCCACTCTTTCAACCAACATAGCTGTCCTGAAAAACACATTTAAATGGAGAATAAGCATTGTTCCCATTCAGGGAGAAGAATAAATGATTCTACAGGTGTATTTTTACCAGCTGGTAAAACTATATCAGTATAAATTTCTTCAGTGAGTGGCCACATGAATAAATCACCATGTGGAAAATATCAACTCTTTCCAGTAACCATTCTGCCTGTGGTGCCTTGGTTTTAGGAAGCTCCACAGAGTTGTCCGGATGGGCTTTGCAGGGCCCGTGGCAGCCCACTGTGTCTGCATTGTCAGCCCAGCATCAGGTTGCTGGTTGCACACAGGCGTCTTCCATCAGCACCATTGTGGCGTTATTAAATCAGTGCAGATGCAGGGCTTGGACCAGACCCAGCGGCGGAAACACCCCGTGCTCTCTGCCAAATGTGCCTGCAGCTCTACAGAGCGTCAGTCACAGGAGGGTTTGGAACAGTTCTTAGAAAGCTTTTCAAAACTCAAGCTCTGCCATTCAAGCGTTGTCCCAAAACAATTATGAAATGCAGAGAGAACTTGGTGTGAAATTATCCGATACTTTCTCCCTATAACAACAGGAGGAAAACATTCAGGATTCAGCTAATTATTGCCCTTCTCTCAGCTGGCTATTTTTTACATGCTTTGTCTTCTTTTTTTCCCCTATTTTCTTCCAGCTTCTTTCACACCCGCTTGCAGCTGCCACGGTGCCATTAGTTTTAAATGGGGCTTTAAAGACTTATTTTTAGGCAAAAATTAATCACCAACACCACGGTGGCCAAAATGGAATTGAGAAATAATAACAACAACAATAATTCATTACATAGTTCATTGAAGTACTGCTCTTGCAGAGCAAAAAATACCATTGCCAAGAAGCAAAACAGCTTCCCAGTACTGATTCATCCTGAAAATATTAAATTGGCTGGAGCACAAGGGTTAGGGACAGGAGAAGGGGCAGGAGAGATCCGAGAGCCATTTGCGGTCCTGTACCATAAGCGCAGGCACTTTGTTAGCTCTCATTTTCATTTCCTTTTACACGTGGTCCCACATGGTTTCTTTATGCTTTGAAGCAATCAGCAGAGAGTGGGGAAAGCAGCTTTTTTTTGAGCATTGAATCACGTCTTGGGGTTTTCAAGCAAAGCATCCAAGAGAAACTGAAGGTGCTAATTCATTTCAGGGCTGTGAGTCACACTGCTCACCAGTGCCCTGGCTGTGTTGCAGTGAAATTGTACCTGCTGTACTTACAGCTTTGCCTTGGCTTGGAGCAGGGGTAAGGTTCCCCCTTTTCTGCTGCAGGGGATTACTGCTCTGCTCAACTCCTCCTGGGACTGGGCTGTGTTTCCACACTGGGATAAGCAATGTTCTGAGCCACCAGCTGCCTGGTCTGTGTGCAGCGTCTGGGTAGTGCATACCTAGATAACGGGAGGAGAAGAGCTCACCTTGTGTATAAATCTTTTTCCTGTATCTGATGAAGTTCATATTGCACCCTGCAGTTCCCTCCTCATCACTCATCATGCAAGGAGAGTCAGAGGGGGGCTACTGCCTGCCAGATTGTGGGTTTGCTGCTGCAAAAGCAGCAAGGCTGCTGGACAGTGAGCACAGTGAATTAAATGTAAAGTTAAATTCAGTGCCTTTAAATCAACCCAGGCGGGTTTTGTGATATTCTGCTGTCCCTTGGGGCAGCTGGGACCAGCACCAGCAGGATGACTGGGATGGCATTGCTGGGTCCCTGTATGTGTGTAGGGCTGCGAAGGGTGAAGCAAACCCAAGCAGCATCACTCGGCTGGGCTCTATCCTAACTTTGCCCGGGCCTGCCATACTCCTGCTAACAGATCATCTCAGCCATGCAGTGTCAGTCCCACCAGCCTCATTCCTTTGTTTCTCTAAGTTGCTACTTCTGCTGGTTTGTGCCACCATGCACCACCTCAGCGACGGAGGAAGTTCCCCAAACAAGGGTCACCACTGCTCCATTCCCAAGTGCTGCTTATCAGCATATTGGCCACTAATGAGGTCTCTCTGCCCCATTAGTTGTAACACTGATCTGCCTAGCCCAGCTTGACTGGGAGGTGGGTGTCATTTGGGGAGCAGCCTGTCACCCTCTGTGCTTGGGGAATGCATGGTGACCCCTCTTACCAGCCAGGATGACTCTGATGTGAACTGACTGGTTTAAAGCTCAACACCTGCAAGAACACGATAGCGCTGAGACCCCTGTTCCAGGGCTTGCCCTTTGCTGGGATGTGGTGGCTGCAGGGAGGAGGCATAGCCTGCTCTTGCTGTGTCCCCTCGCGTGCTGGAGGAGGATGTCACATGCATTGTCTGCTGGACATCCGCTGAGCCAGCAGCCATGACCCAGGGCAAGGCTATTTATGCCACATCTTTCTGCTGCTCTCCCTGGGTTGGTCAGATGCAGGCTCTGCTGGAGAGCCCTTTCCTTTCAGCTTTGGGTGAGGAGATGGGGAATGTCTCCATATCCTTGCCAGCGTGGCCAGTGCCTGCTGCGGCTGCTGTGGGTTTCTCTCCAAGCCACTAGAGATCAGCAGCAAGACACAACTGCTACTGGCGGATGCAACCTGCTTATCACATATCCACCCTGCTTCCTTCCCATGGGAAGTGCTTTGATCAACTGGCACAGGACCCTGTGCCAGACACAAGGTCCAGTCAAGCATCTGTAGCCTATGTTGAGGGTCCTGGCACAGGAGGCGCAGATGTGGCTGCAGCATGGGGAGAGGCAGCAGGACTCGATGGTCCAGGGTTGTGCCCTGTGCTGCTGGGTCTGCTCATGCCTCCCTAGGCATATGTGTGAGTGAAAGGGGTGATGTGGGCAGAAAGAGCCAAAGCTGGAGCTGTAATCCCTGGATCCAAGGGACCATGGTGGGTAGTGGTGTCATGACATGGTAGGGTGAGGGGTGACTTGTCCATTAGTGGCATTAGTACCCATTAGTGAAAGCCAGCCACCACTACAGGCTGGCCACATCTGGAGGGGATAGCCACACACTGACACCTTGTGATGGACACAAAGAAGAGCAGCCCAACTTCACCTCCCAGGAGCTGGGCTCATGTGAAAGCACTGTGGTGGGGTAGGCTAAAAGATGACCTTTAAATGTCCCTTCCAACCCAAACTATTCTATGAGCTACGATTTATGCTACACCCCTGTTCCTTGATACAAGAGCTGTTTTTGGAGAACCCAGGATGTGGCTAGAAGTGTCCCCGCTCTTGGATACCAGCATGTCCATGAAGACTTGCTGGGAACTGATTTACAGGACAAGATGCTCCCTAGCTATCCTCAGGACAAAAGGGATGAAAAGCCACTTGTCACCATCTGCCAGCTCTGGAGGTCGCTCATCTGACAGCAGTATCTGGACTATAGATGCTATCAGCCCTGGCAGTCTGAGCTCCTTTGGTCTGTTGTTCATGTCTGACCTTATTTCTTTCTCAGCTCAGGACTGGGTCAAGGTTTGCTGCTTTCCTTATCACTCTTCCCAGTCTGGTGATAAACTTCCAGTGGCTGGTCAGGTCTGATTTCATCCTTACTGCCTGCTTTGACAAGTAGGCAAGTAGGATGGGTGACAAACTGGAGGCAACAAATGCGTTGCTGTCTGCCTGGTGGCACCTTGCTGAGCTCCCTGCAGTAACTGTTCACCTCTGGTCCCACAAGACAGGCTGTTCAGAACAGCGTGTATTCCCCAGCCAGTGCCTGGCAATGTGCAGCCATTAGAAACTACTTGCCATGATGAATTTGTCTTTATTAAAAACAATGTTTCTTGACTGGTTCTTCAAAGCAGGTCTGCAGGGGATGCCCTAACAGCATCTCTGAGCCCCCAGATGGGTGATTACGGCCTTTATTTGCTCAGCAAATTCTCACTCAGTGCAAAAAGCTCAAATGAAGCTGTTGATAAAGCACAGTGTTCCTCCAGACTGCAGGGAAACTTGGAGACCTCTCTCTGATCCTTGCTCTTATCAGACTGGCACACAAGGAGAGCTCTGCAGCCAAGGGTGCAGGGCAGAAGCAGATGATTGCTACCAACCCTAAGGTGCTGGCATGGGGAGAACCTGGTTGTACTTTGCCAGATGAGCACGTTTCCCAGAAAGTCCTAATGGGATGTGCTAGAGCTGTCGGTGAGATGGGTCATGCTGAGGTCCCTGCTGTGGTAACAGCCCTGAGGCTGCAGCATGTTCATGGTTGTGCAGAGCAGCAGCCATGAATCAGCCTCAAAACCACCTCTCCATATGCGTGACACTGAGCTATGTGCTCTCCTCCAAGTGGTGTCTGGGACATCCCCCATTGCTGACTATGTTCATGCTGTCACAAAGCAAGGCAAGACTGGGCTAGGATGAGCCTGTTTTAGATCAAAGCAGGATGATTTTCTGTCACGAATGCTGCAGTACTGAACAAAGCACCCACCAAACCCTGGCCATTGGAAACACAGGCTCCATGCATGATGCTGGAAGAACAGCTCCTTGGCAATTCCCACCCATGCAGGAGAAGGGCATGGGAAACAAAACTGCCAGGAGCCTTTGAGAACAATGGTTTAATTGCCTTGTGAGGCTGATGAGAAAGATTCAAAGATAAAATTACCATTTTTAATTCTTTTTTTAAACTAAGAGACTTGCTGGTGCTTTCCACAGTGCAAATGGGTGAGCTGGTGAGCTGGCCGTGCCTGAGCACAGACTGTTTGGAGAGATTTTGAAGAGGTTATGTGCTGCATTAATAAGAAGCTAAGGGAGGAGGCTGGTACAGCCGTGGGAAGGGAGATGCTTATTCTGTTCTTTGCAAATTTGCATGGAATTGCTCAGGGGGGAGGAAGAAGCTTCAGGAAAACAAATTCCACTTGTTTCATTTTCCTCCTCCTGCAAAATAGATATTTGGTGTTTCAAAGTCAATGTTTCCTTTAGAGATTTACCCCAAGCTTGCTGACACTGGCTGTATCACACCTCTGAGGTTTTCACTGTGATAACAGTTCACTTAAGCAAGGATAGAAATGCAGGGTAAATCATGTCTTTGTGTGGGACTAGGCTAAAAGGACAGAGCTACTTGTGGTGGGTCCTGTTCTTGATCAGCCTGGGAGGACCTCTCGTGGGGGAGTGCCATACAGGTGCAATGAAATTACAACCTAAGCATCATTAAGGCAGTTTTCTTCCTGGTTTAATGAGACCTGTTTGAAGCAAGGATCAAGAAAAGAGCAGAAAACCCACCTGTTTCTAGTGATGCACCAGAAGTGATGTTTTGAGGGCGTGTGGAAAACAGTATGAACCATGCTTTTGATTCAGAGGACAAGGAAGGTATCTCTTCTGCTGGGAGGAGGTCTAGTTTTGTTCATGGACCTGGATAAATACATTTTGCCTTACGCTGTGCCTTCACAGGCTTGTAAGGAAAAGCAGGGAGAGAGGGCTCGATCCTCTGCCAGACTGCTCTGCATGACAGTTTTCTCTCTCCACTGGATGAGAAATTTTCTCTCCAAGGGAAACTCCCCAAATCCTCAGACCATGCCTGTGTGAAATTGCTGGTTGGGCAATAAGGAAGTATGGGGGGAGAGCTAGATGGCATATTGTCCAGTTTAGCTCTCGATCCTACCTCATGACCCATGACTGCCTGTTAAGCATGACAGTGACATTTAAACACTAGCTGGTTTATGTTTTATTTTAATGGTCAGATGGCTTCCAACTTGCTTCTGCTTTGCAGGTGTTCCCTTCCCCAAGCAGTTCCAGCAAGTTTGCACTAAGATCCTCACCCGGCTCTTCCGTGTCTTTGTCCATGTCTACATCCACCACTTCGACAGCATCATCAACATGGGTGCTGAGGCTCATGTCAACACCTGCTACAAGCACTTTTACTACTTCATCAGGGAGTTCAGCCTCGTTGACCATCGGGAGCTGGAGCCTTTGGTAAGGATGCCTCAGGGAGGGGAGGTAGAGAGCATGAATGCAGGACTGGTGTATTTAGTTAGGGGCTGCACTCTGAGCAGTGCAGTCACCCTCTCTGAACTCTTTTCATTCACCTTGACTCAGAAGCACACCCATGTTTTCTGTCCTGTAACCATCAGCCTTAGTGCTCTTAGATAGAACTTTTCAGCAACCCTTTATACTTTGAAAACCCCCCTTAAACTCTGCTTCTGCTGCCGTGTCTTACGCATTGTTCTTCATTGCCCTCAGGACAACGGTAACATAGCGTCCCTCTATACTGTCTCAGTAACTCTAATGCAGTTTGCACATTGAAGTGTCCCCAGCCATGGCTTTCAGGGGTCAGATATGAGCTCAAGTCTCCTCTCTAGAGTCTTGAGTATTCCTGTTAGCAGACTAAGGCCCTTGCTTGAGACCCTATTATGAATTACAATAAGGCTGCGGGAAGGCAAGCCCCAGTAGGACATACACCTCCAGAAAACTGCTATGGATGCCTCACTGGAGGTGCCTCGCTGGAGTTCCAGTTTCTCTGCAGCCTCCCTTGGGAAGCAATTAGCCAGGCAGAGAGTGAGAGTCCTTGAAAACAGCAGGACTGGTGGGAAGCAGAGGCCAGACAGCTTGGGAACTAGAAAACAAAACATAGTTTTGTAAGAGAAGCAAATGTGTCACAGGCAAAGTTAAACAACATGACCTAAGGAGGACATGTTGCAGTGGGGAGGAGAATTAATAGGGAGCCCAGTACTCAGCATGCTGTGATAGGGCTGGGTTGCAGAAAAGGTCATATCCAGCAATAGAGAGCCAGGGAAGACCAGAGGGATATAATCCCAGAGAGAGAAAGAGATGAGAAGAGTTCCAAAGCCTTACTCCTCTCCTTTCATTTGTTTTCAGTCAATTTGCTACCTGTCTGCTCCTGTCATGATTTGGGGGGATGGAGAAATGATGATCTAATCAGGGGAGACTTGAATGACAACTGCATCTACATGAATTATTTCCTAGAGTTTGATTGTGACCTGTATAACCACAATGGCCCTCAGCTCCAGAAAATGGCAGCTCAGGCTCACTCTGTCCAGTTAGTCTCCCTCACTACCACTCCTCACAACAAACTTCTTTAGCATTTGATATACAGCCCATAATGGTGTCATCTCCTTTGACTGATGCTTGCTAATGCCAATAATTAGCAGAGGCTGACATAGCTAAACAGGCTTTCAAAGCCAGTGACTCACACTCAACATGAGATGATTTATGGTTCTGGATGAATCTAACATGAACAGATTTTCATGTGTGATGCAACCAGGCTTAAACTATAAGGAAATGAGACACATTTACCTGTGGTCTAGCTGCATCTCATTTTGTGGTGTGCCCACTGCCTGGCTTCCAAGCTGCAAGCAGACCCAACTGCATGGCAGACCTCCTTCCCTCAGGCAATGACTTGCTGTAGGTGTGTGTGAGTGTCCTGCAACCAGAGGATGGCTGTGTCCAGGGTGCAATGCTGAGCTGAGGAGAGAGGACAGGTTGCTGCAGCTCATGAATAACTTTCAATACCTGAAAATGGTCCTTCAGGCCAGCCCCAGGGAGGCTGCAGCTTGACACTGCATCAATCCCAAAGTCTGCAAGGGTTAGGATTGATCCAAAAGCTTCCAACAGCATTTCTCTCTGCTGCAGGCAGGGAAGTAATAATGGGAAGTTTCTTGAGCCCCTGGGAGCCTGCTGTGGGTGTTCATGCTGCTCTGGCTTGGCTTCAGCAGTAGTTGTGAAGATGCACAAATAGTAACATCCAGCCTCTTCAGCACTCTACACTCGATCTCAGTTCACTTTCCTGTGGCTGCACTGCAGCTGTTGTCCTGCTAAAACACTAAAAAAAGTGTTTTTAAGTCCTGAAGGATTCATGAGCTGGTTTGACTCCGAAGCAAGGACAGACAGTGCATTCCGTCTGCCTACATTTTAGGCTAAGACTGCAAGGTTTTGTTTTTGCAAGTGCTCAAGGTTTGTGGAAAGGCGATAATCTCTCAGTAGGGACGAGATTAAGTGTCCTTGAGAGGTTCAGTCTCTCCTGACTACCTCATGACCCCATAAAACCGTCCTAACCTTGCATTTAGATGGCCAGAGTTAGTCCTCATGAATCCCATGACAGAAGAGACTCCTGCCTGCAGAGGTGCTTGTTCCCTGCATGTGATTATGGAAGGCCACTACTCACGTGGATGGAGCGTATCTGGAGCAGGACAGCAGATCTGAGTGCTGTATTATGGTTGGAGCTTTTCCGACTGAGAAGTAAGAAAGAAAACAACAGCACCTCCCCAGCCAAAGGATGTCCTGTTAGGCTCAAACAGCTTTGAAAAATTAGAAAGATAGTGGGATGAAGGAGTTCTCAGTTTCTAAACCTGCCTCTGGCAGAATCTCCCTTTGCTGCCTAAGTTTCCTTTTGTCAAGCTTCTCTGAGGCATGATTCCTTAGCAGCAAGTCCTGGGAGCCAAGAATGAAAGAGATCCTTTGTATAGGCAGAACCAGCACAAGGCAGTGATTCACTCTTAGCAGATCAAGAAATACGGGGGCAGAGAGAAGCCGTGCACTTGTTGCCTTGAGAAGAACAGGTCACGGTGCTGGGCGGCAGCACTGGCAGAGGTCCAGCTGATTATATCCTAAGGCAGAGCTGTGGGGATCTTCAGTCTGATGAATGTTCTGGACATTTGGGGACAGCTTAAGGAGCTCGTAGGTGGTTTGTCAGCCCACCGATTGCTTCAATCCACCCAGTTCAAGGCTGCTTTGGTGTGTGGTGCTGTGCTAGTGGGGCAGGCTGGATGCTGTTGCAAGAGGATGTTCAGTCTTCTCACCCCTTTTTCTTTCTCCTTCTGAGATGTCTGCAAACATTTCCAACGTAGTTTTGTGGTAGAGCATTGGCTTTTGATTTGCTGCTTCTGCTGCTTGAGTGATTTTTACTGTTACTCCTACAGAGAAGCCCCCTCTTTGCCACTCTCCCCCAGTGGATTTTAAAAACAAATCTCTCACCACTAAAGAGCTGAAATTGCAGCTTTTGTCCCCCTTGGTTATATCACTAAAGGGACTTTTATAGGGTTACTCATGGGTCATCCTGCTTTCTTGGTTCTTTTTTCAGTTGCAACCTTCCTCTCTGCAGCCCAGTCCTACTTCAGCTCTATTTTGGGAGTACATTTTCATGTGCAAACCTTTAGGTTATGTGAGAGGGTTGGTGTGCAAACACAGATTCACAAACCATGAACCTGATGAGCCAGAGGGAATCGCAGAATTCCCTCGCTGCAGTAGATTATCTGCAAGCTTCAGGAAAGAACAAATACCATCTTCCAACACCTGAAAGCTGGGTACCTTCCTAATGCAGCTGGCATGATGCCACCCTGGCTAAAGAAAACAGTCTGTTAACCTAAACACAGCCCAGTCTTGCAGGAGCTTTCCTTTGGCCCTCTTAATAGCACTCATTTGCATTGTAGTGTGACTGTGGTCTTTGGGTGAGCTCTTGTTATCTTCTGGAGCAAGAGCTGGGAGCAGCTCCATGTCGCCTCCCTCAGCAGCTGCAGAGGCTCCAAGAGCAGCACAGCCCTGTTTGGCTGCTCCATAGCTGAGTCAGGAGCAGGACCTGCATCTTTCAACATCTCAGCTCTTTCCTTGGACCACTCTCAAAGCTAGGCTGCCAAAAAAGCCTTGTGCCACAGGAACCGAGGAGGATGCCAGGAAGGAGCTGCTGAGGCAGAGCAGTTCCCATGAGGACTGGCATGGGAAATAGAGAAACACTGCCCGAGACTCCCACGGTCACTTCTTTGGGTTGTTTTTGGACACCTACCAAACTGATGTGTCACTCTACCAAAACCTGTCTTTTGCACTTACTGTTTCTTTCTTCTCTCTCCCCTTCAATGCAGAAAGAAATGACAGAACGAATTTGCCACTGAAGCATTTTGGCAGGTGAACTCAGCTGGCTCATTTGGAGTCTGATGGGACAAGATACCCTGTGGTGGAAGACCGCTTCCTGAGGACTTGCTCTGGGCATTTCAACTCAATGAACTATGAACACTGCAGAAGAGCCTCTTCAGGCCATGGCCAAAGCCTAAGCTTGCCAAGCATCTCTGGACAGAGGTTTTGGGATTTTTTGTTATAGATCCCAGTTTCTGTTGTATGGCTCCTGCCAAGGAAAGCCACTGACTTACTGGAGAACAAGGCAAGTTTGGTTGATGTTTGCACACTCTGGTTTCTACGACCCAATTCTGTGTTTGCTAACATCCCCTCAGCTACCCTTCCTCTTGTTTTGTCCTCATCTACACTGATTTCCAGATGCTTCATCAGTGATTCCTGCCCTGTGAACAGGTATGAACTTGGCTACCGAGTAATGCCTCTTACCTTTCCCACCTGCAGTGGTTTGTGGTAACATCCAAGATGTTATCTTGGATAACAAAGTTGGTGACATTCGATCCAAGCTGCCCTAATGTGGTTAGTTGCTGATGTACCATTTTTAACCACAAGCTACGAATGTCTCTCATTCTGCCCTAATTCATGCTTTACCAAAAGGACCATTTTTCCCTGCAAGGGATTTTTCATGTTTGGCAGAGGGACTTCATGATGTTCTTAAGATGCATTCAACACTGCCTGGACCAGTGGCAAGGTGGCCCCATGCCAGAGGAGGTGAACTAGGCCACTTTTCATCGTGATCAGCACAGTCTACCTGAGAAAAGACTCAGAAAGTGGAGGAAGCTGTTGCCAGAAAACGTGATTTTCAACATGTCAGCATTTCCTGACATGTCGTTTTGGCTCAAAAGCAGCAGATGCTGGCTGCAGAAATGGATGGTTTTCCATTTTCCAACTCTACAGTATAGCAAATCAGGTGAAGAAGGACTTTGAGATACCTAATCTACCCAGTTCTTCCAAAAACGCAAGAACAGTCCTTCTTAAACCCTTTTGCACACTGTTGCTACCTGGTCTGCACCATTATTCCTCTGAATGGTATTACATCTCAAAATTTCCTTCCCTTCTGCTTGCAGCCCCTGATAACTAATGTTGTCCCATTTGTCTTTTCACAAGAGCTGAAGTCTTTTTTCTGTTTTAGGGAGTTAAAATCAAACTGTCTGAGCCACTGCATTATGTTTGTATTTCCTGCCCTTCTGGGGAAGTTTTGTATACCAGACACAGCCGATATTTATAATCTGGGGTTTTGCCCGTTTTTGGGATGGGGGGAGGGATGTGGCTGGAAAATGTAAATATTTAGGCTAACATTAAGGTGCATAAGTGAATTTTTAGTGCTCAAAGCACTTATTTTGTTGTGAAAATCTATTTTTTTTAAGCTTATGTACCAGATATATATTTTTACATGGAAATAAAAGAGAGCAAAATGGACACAAAAACACCTCATACATCATTCAAATATTTTCTATGTAAAATAACTGGTAAAAGTCTAGATATTTTTGTTCAGTTCCTAATTAAAGAAATGTTAATAAGCTTGGTGTGCATCACTCTTCCCTGATTCATCTGTAGTAAGACAGGCATCATGAAAAAAGCACCCAGGATAACTCGAAGAGTGGATTTACACAGAGTTGCAGCACTGATGGATCTCAGTGCTATGTTGAGACCTGAAATTACATCTCAGAAAGTGGCTTGGCATAGGCAGATGTTGCTGGTCTGCATCCTCCCCTTGCAGACTTTTCACCAGCTTCCCAACTTGAAGGTATTTTTCCAGTGATACATGGTGGTGAGCTTTACTCAGTACTTTCTGCAAAGGTGTGTGGTTCTTGGATCCTGGGATCCATGTTCCAGCCTCTTCATATAACTCAGAAGTGGAAGCACGACTGTGGTGTGGTGCAGAGGCAGAAGATGACAACAGCTCTATCAGGAACCTTCTGCCATGCCAAGAAGTGAGGCATCGTTGGACTCAATGCACACGACCCTCTGGGAGCTGGTGAGGTTGGGAGTTATGAAGAAGCTGTCTTGACAGTGGGGTCTAAGGGATGAACTGACCGCAGCCGACAGCTACTTCAGGGTGAGGTATAAAGATGACAGAGTCAACCTCTTCTCAGCTGTGGAAGACAGTGACTAACAGTCACAATCTGTGGCTTGGAATATTCAAATCAGGCAATAGAAAAGAATAATCCAAGAGTGTGGTGAAGCCAGGGGACACATACCTAGAGAGGAAGCGTTAACCATCCTCAGATAAACAAGACTTGGTATGAATAATACCTTTGCATAGCAGCCTGCTTTTATTTTGTCCACCACATTGTCCTGCAGCAATGAGTTCCACCAGGTAACTGCATTACAGTAGGGGGTGAACTTTGATTATTTTTTAAACCCATGCCTGAGGATTTCAGCCCTCCTGCTTCGAGAATGTTTCCTGTTTACCTCCTCCACACCACGAAGCTTCTATATGTATGATTCTATGATGATTCTATAGATTCCTGCAGAACAGAAAGCTGTTATTTCTGAAAGATCATCCCACAGGCTCATCTCAAGCAGCAATTAAAAACTGAATTTCAAAGGTCTTTTTTCTTTTTTTCTCTTTTTAATCTGGTTTACCCAAGGAAACAAAGCTCATGATTGTGCTGTGAAAACTGCATCTTTAATAACTCTGGAAGCAGTACTGGAAGGGGAGACATGGAGATCATTCACTGCCAGAAAGGTCTTTCTGTCTTTCTCCAAGACACGGAGCTATTCCCCTGGTCCTCATCCGAGTGCCTCCCAGCCTGGAGAGTTTAATGCCTGAGCACAGCAGAGAAGTTTATGAAGCAAAAAGTGCTGAGATAAGTATCTAAGTCAAACATCTCCTCCCTTCAGGATGCTGAAGTGTGCCTATGAGGTTCCAACATCCCCAGAGCTTCCACAAACATCCCTGAGCAATTTGAAAGCAGGCAGGAACCTGGGATGCATTAAATATGCAAGTAGCTCTTGTTAGCGCCAGCTCCCTAAATGACTCATCTGCTCAGCTGGCTGTGAGGTGCCTGGGGCTCATTTTTCTCTTTGCAAAATCCCTGTTTTCTCCTGATGTAGGGCAGATGTGCTACTGCAGGATTTTACTTCCCTTCTCTGGAGCCACCGTGTCCTTTGGGACTAAACAAAAGGTTGTGGCACCCATCACAGGTCAGAGGGAGGCTGGCACAGGAGCGATGCTGTGCTATGCACTGTCTGCAGATGTTGGAGAATTTGGGAATAGCCTTGGGTTAAAAAAAGGCTTTGTGGAGCATAATGGCTCCTATCCCAGTGCCACAGGGATGGGGGAGGGCTTGGGTTCAGCCAAGGACGTCAGAGAACTCATAAGAGTCAAAGAAAACCATGAAGCAAGAGTGTGGCATTCAGCTCCCTGCTGAAAAAAGACCCTGAGTCAGAGCTGAAATGCCAGCGGCGAGTGTGGGACTCTTGTGTGTCTGCATCAATGTAGAACACAGCAAAAGCAAATGAGGTCTCACACGAGAGTCTCTTTCCGGAGAGGTGGCTGTGGGAGAAACAACAGCATGATCTGCCTGCAAATTTCTTTACAGCCTGTCCTGGGTTCAGCAGTAGCAGTCACTGCACCAGTTAACACAAAGGAAAAACATGACTGCTACTGCTGAACCCAGGACACAGCCTCAGTGAAACACCATCCACTCAACTCCAATGAGGTACCTTACTTTGATGTTTTGGGATACTGGGTGATGGCATCTGCTCCTGAAATCCTTTGGGCAGGACTCACCACCTGTTGTAGTCACTTAGTGCTGGCCACACTTTGACTAACCCAGGGTCTCTGCTCTCTTCCAGTGTCTGAGCTCACCCAACCTTCCCTCCTTCCAAGCTGGCTCACTGCTGGGGCCAGGTTCCTCAGCAGCAAGGAGGATAACTGGGAAAGCAGTGTTCAGATGACACCCACTGCATCATGAGTTCAGCAGCTCCACGACTGCTGCTTCTTAAAAATATCTGGCACTTTTTCTCCCAAATCATGTGTTTTGGTGGAAATCTTGAAGGAAATCTGGGACTTTGCAGGAACCCTGGATTGTAGGGTTCCTCTTGCAGAACAGCTGGGTCCAGGTGCTGTCTGCTGGGGCACAGGGTTGCTCTGTACTCAGCAAGTGGTGGTATGCATTTAACACCCTCCTGCTGGGAAGAGTAATCATGAGTATAAAGAGGATCCATATTTTCAGGATCGTTTTATGACTTCAGCCTCTGTTAGAAGCATAAACTTCACCACCATCTGAGTAAATCCTCCAGCAGCTATTTTATTAACTTTAATGAAGGTGTACTACTTAGGAGTTGCCATACTGGAACAGACGTCTCTTTTGTCATTTAATATTTCATATCCACTGGGTGAGTTACCAGTTGCTCTGGGCTATGCCCTAATGATGGACTAAGGTAAGCATTTTGCCATCCGTTCATGTGGCTGTCAGGTGAGCATAGGTAAGAGCTGACAGTCTCAGGACAACTTGCTGTAGGCATCCTGGGCTGGAGGCCATGACCAGCCCTGCACTCATGATCTACCTCCTTTGGGTCTTACTCATCTTGCAGTTTTCCAGTAGTGCAAGCATTCTCCACACTTAGGTGCACTGTGGGGGAGTAAGAGCTGAGATGTACACAAGGTGGATGTGCTGGTTTTGGGAGCTGCATATAGGTGGAGGTAATGCTATAGAAGGCTTTGATTTCTGATGTGATGGTTCTGATTTCCGACGTGGTGGCAAAATGTTCTGCTGTTTTGGTGACTGCTCATTTCTGAGGACTTGGAATTTTTTAGTCCTTGGATTGCTTCTGTAACCCATAACTGGCCTTGTTAGGAACTAGGCTGATGTCTTCTCTGTGCTGGAAACACTGGACAGTCTAAGTCCTTCCTGCTTGACTTTGCAATCTGCTCGATATTACTGCTCTCTGGTGCAAAAATAAATACCTAAGCATAACAGGGCTGCAGCAAAATGAAAATGTCACCACTCAGGAGGAAATCATCTTCCCACTTCTGTTCCTAGCTGTTACAGCAATTTCCTCCCAAGACACCCTTTTGTGCTATGACTTCTAAATCCATTAAAACTCACAGACATTCTTATATTACACTGTCTTGTAAGCAGCCCGTAGAAATAGGAGGATTAAAAAAAAGGCCCTTCTGCACAAGCTTGTAACAGAAAACTCCAAGAGCCTCCCTCTTTGGTGCTACACGCTTGCATAGCAGCACCTCTCATGTCTGTGGAAATCAGTTGGGTGGGATAAGGGTATCAACCCTTGCTTTCCAAATGGATTTTCTGAGAGTTCTGCATACCCCTGGCCCCAAGGCTTTTGTTTAATCCATGTGCAAGTACTTTCTAAATCTCTAGACTGTGCACATAGATGTAGCACGGACAGTGTCATAGGGTAAAACTGCAGCATCCAGAACTTTGGCCAGCAAGGCTGTTACTCATCTGGGTAATATCCCGAGGAACCCAAGGGCATGAGACAGCTTAGTCCTGTTCATTTTAATAAGAATATATCATCAAAACACCACGTGTAACATCATGTTAACATCACCAGATCTCAACCTTCTTGTTAATTTTGCATTGACAATGCAGGTATAGGCTCCACCTAACAATCAGTACCAAGTTGTAATACTTAAGTTAGACTACCTGGACACAGCCCATGTGTCTCCACTGCCTAATTGCAATGCCCGGGGCCTAGCATTTGGGATAGCACAGAGTCTGCATTTCCACTTGCTCTCCTAAGAAGGACACCATAGGAAATGGACTAGAAGGATTTGTAATCTGAGGGTGCTGAGGCGCTGGCACAGGTTGCCCAGAGAAGCTGTGGCTGCCCTATCCCTGGCAGTGTTCAAGGCCAGGTTGGACAGGGTTTGGCGCAACCTTGTCTAGTGGAAGGTGTCCCTGCCCATGGCAGGGGGATTGGAAGTGTACGAGCTTTAAAGTCCCTTCCAACCCAAATACAATGATTCTATGATGTAATGGTTCTGCCAAGTCCAGCTGAAAAAC